GCTTTTTTTTCGCCCTGCTTCGCCGGATTGGCTAGCACAGCGTTCATTACTGTCGCTGATGCTGCTACTGCTACAACATCCTTGTTTTTCGATGATTCCGCTGGAACTTCGGTTTTCTGATTGGACGGAATTTCAGCAGCTTCACTGGGTGCTTTTTGTGAAGGCACATTTGACTCAGTTTGAATGCCAAACATCTTGGCTAGTTTGCGAGCACGCTCCTGACGTTCTTCTGCAAATGTACACTCTTCAAGCCATTGCGGCCATTGAATGCCTCAGTTTCAGCCTGCGCTTTTAACCGAAATCTAGCATTAGCTGGGAGAAACTAGGAAAAGATATTTACGATTTTTGCTTTTGTGTAAATCATATAAAAGTAAGTTAAGATCAGGTAGCAACCGATTAATCCGAGGCTTCGCATGAGGTCAAGGACTTTTTCCATAAAACATTTCAAGTTTGCTTCTTGTTTGGTTGATAACTTAGAAATTTGCCTCAGACTGAACCTCATCCGATATTCGCTATTTTTATCGTTGTAGGAACTATCCCACCGTAATTTGTTGATCTCTTTCGATATTAAACTGCCACCAGTGCATGCCAAGAAGTCAGAACCATAATAGTCTTGGTCCTATGCAACTTTCTGAGAAGATAGCACTGAAAGCATTGTCAGAGGATGATTGCTGTTGGCACTGTGCTGTTCCAATGTCTTCTGTGAAGGGAGGGGTGATAACTTTTTGACTGCTGATTTCAAAAATTTTGTTAGAAAATTTTGCAAAAATTTCAGAAATTTTGTTAGAAATTTATCAAATACAGTCATTTAAAATGCGCTCCGTGAGATAATGGTACGCGTACAAATTGATTGGCTCAAAAATCTTATCCTGTTCAAAACGAACGTTCTGCCTCAGCGGTATCCTGCTCCGATTTCACAGATCGCGTTTTCGGCCTTCTCGTTTCATTGGTCACTGCGTCGGCAGTCCTGCGCCATGTATCCAGCGACTTAACGGTGGACCGCTTGAGAAGCATTTTCTGTTGATCAGCAGCACTCCCTTTTTCAGCGGATTCGGAAATATGTTTTGTTACAGTACCGGGTAATTCCTCATCTACATTACTACTACGAATTGACGTCCGACTGCTGTGCAAGTTGTTCGTTTCCGAAGCGATTGTTGTCGGATTATTTGCAGTCGTTGAAGCTTCCGAGGTAATTAGCCGGCCCTATAAACGAATGCTTATCAAATAACTTAAAAAAACTAAGTAAATCAAAACCTAATGAATCATTCCAGAACGAGGGCATGGGGGGAGCGAGACGTTGGAAAATATAAACTAATAGCAATCACGACTGTCTGGAAAACCAGTGTGCGGATCCAGTCTTAGTGATATTGCTTAGATGCAATCACACGTCGGAGGTAGCAGCTTCAGCTCTAAGTTGCATATATCAAAGTAAACAACAAATGCTTTAATTTAATGTAAAACGCGCATGTAATTACGTCTTTGCCTTTTCCAATCAGAAACTCATTCCAAGCCTTGAAAAAAAAAGGCTGATCAGTACAATTCCAAAATGAATGCAGATATCAGATAGTGAAATGATTTATATTTTTAACGATAAGCGCTCACTGGGTAAAACTTTGTAAAAACGTAAGCTCGTGCATGGAAAATTAAAGAAAATTAGTATGAAAAATTAACAAATGAATAACAAGTGGCAAGCAAACCAACCTGCTCATCGACAACGTTAGCAACTCTCGTCCCTAGACACCACTTTAGGAGGATGTAGCTGACGAAGCAGAGTAACGGCAGTATCAGGAAGAGAATAATGCCAAGCAGAAGAAACCACCACAGCAAACAAATACCGAGGAATGGTATGCACCTAAGAATAAGTTCTTGGTGAGTTTGTAATACAAGTTATTTGATAAGGAAATGCGTAGAGCTTGGAAAAAACAACAGCTGATAATCTGATAAATAATCGGCAATTTTTTTACCCATCGGCTTTGAGTAGTGCCAGCAGCTCGCATCGTCGCCCCTCTGCTTTGCCAATATCCAGTGAAGTATCATTCCAACCCTCGTGACACTGACACCGATATCTAGGGCCATCGACCAGACAATCGGCGTGCTCCGGATCACAGTCATTGAGTGATGGTGCCAAGCAGGCACCAAGTGCGAGCTCTGCAAACTCGGAGCAGTTATTCTGTGAGTAATATAATATATGTCCAATAAAATGATTGGAAAATTTCATATTATAATGTACACGTAAGTTTGCAGTTTGTGTTTCATCTATTAGTTGTAAACACAGGTCGAAATTTAGGTGCTGATAAGGAGGAGAATCATCAGTATAGCTTCCTGCCCGCCATGCATTGAATAGTCATGTGACGAATTTGCAAGACGGATATGCGAAAAAATAGAGAGGGAGAGAGAGAAGAGGAAGTTAATTTTGGGTACGGATAATTACTGTTTGTCATTTATGAGCTAGCGTGAAATGAATCTGTTTTCCAATGATAAC